CGATTTCAAACTAATTGTCTTCTAGAGACGTGGTTTTGGAAGCACCTCTTTTTAAAGTTTGTTCGAAAGAGTGAAATTGATTTCGTTGAAGCAACTCACCAAAAACGGCTTCCTTCTCAGAAACTCGTAGGATAAAAACTCACACATAAAAGCGAAGACAACACTATGTACTAGGCTACGGTTTTGCTGACAACACGTTTGCATCTTAAATGTTTATTCCGTTTTAAAGTTGATGAGCCTGGAATGAGGAGGCCTGTCTATACACTAGGATGATTTTCGATGCATTCACTTTTTGAGCGGCAACGCTTTATGTAAGTAATGATTCGAGTTTAAATTAATTTTTTGATATTTACTAAGATCGGCTTTATAACGGGCCTCCCCGTTTGCTTCTTCATTTTCATTTGGAGAATATTTCTATAATATTATTGAAAAGAAATTAAGATTTTTACGGGACATTATCGACAACATAAAATGGAAATATAGGCCAGCAGAGAAAAAGATCGCCCCGGTATCTTCTCTAATTTAAGCTGGAAGCGTACAAAGAAATCCACTATAGAACGGTGTGGAACAGAGCCTGAAAATCGCTAATGCTAATGCTGTGTACAGCAGGAGTTCAACAGAATTACCAGCAGGGCTGTCCTAATGAATTTCGAGGCGCTTGACATTAGCGCGCGGGTTCCATTACTTAAGTTGTGAACATTATGATTTTTTACTAAAAATTTTCAAATTATCGGTTTATGTGCAGCAAAATTGAAAAGGCACACAATTATTTTAAAATATGTGCAATGCCTAATCATCACTTGTTTTGTTTTAATTAGACAGTGTATTCCATAGCACGGCACCATGTACTAAATAAAGAGTTGATACATTGTTGAGCGGGTCAGAAAAGCAATGAAATAGCAGCTGGCAAATGTGATGTAGTTATTTGTATGCATATTACAAGAGTAGGGGTGATATATAACACTTCGATCAATAATTTGGAAGACTGAAGTCCGAAACTTCACACGATTTCAATCTTTTGTTTGGAAGTTACAGTGTCCTTAGTGAAGCTACTTCCATTGTTCTTTGAAAAAAACCATTCAAACTCATTATCGAAGTTACAGTGTCCTTAGTGAAGCTACTTCCATTGTTCTTTGAAAAAAACCATTCAAACTCATTATCGGGTTAGAAATTGTTTTAGGAATTCTTTTCTGCCAAACAAAAATTTGTCGGTGGTGTGAAGATTTTGCGTAACGACGTAAAGCCACCAATCCAGAAAGACAGCTGACATCCCAAGGACGTCAACGGATGGTGTATTCACTATTTTGCATGAAAATTTGGACGTGAGAACAAAAACATCAAAGTGCTGTTTGCAATTTGAAGCATTGAAATCGTATGGCATGACATAGAAATATTAAAGAATCGTTGGACCTTGAACGGTGCAAATGCTTAGAAAAGGATTTTTTTATCATAGAGTAGTAATAAAATCACTCATCTTCTTGGTATTAATCACATTTCCACCAAGCCTATAAATCATATATGTGTCAGTTCAATTTCTTTGTTTTTTTTGCTACTCCAATCTTCACTCTTCAAAAGTCTTTTTCTACTCCACCATCCACTGTTGGTGATTCTTTGGCTGTTCCCCGACTTACGTTACAAGTATGATTCCGCGGCCACTATTGTATCGCGGGAACTTAAACCCATAAAAAAAGCGCACCAACATAATACCGATTCCATTACATGGTAGTTCAAAATTTAAAAATTGGCATCCAATTCTATATTATAATTTCAGAATATTGTGTTTCTTAGTTTCCTTGTGTTACATACAGATAATGACGATTTTTCGTGCACCCTCCATTGACACTCAAGGATTTTAGGACGCGCCAGAATAAAAAGTTGTCCTAGATTTGCATTTAAGTAGAACCGAAAAGAGACTATCTTTTAAACGTTTGGTTTAGAGAAAGTTGGTTCCCCAGTCTATGCGAAGGGCATTACATAGATTTCATCTGCAATTTTTATCAATTACCGAAAGTTATGTATGAAAACAAAACCACAAAAGCTATTCCAAACTGTGATTGAAAGCTAAGGAAGTAAGTCCATGTGAAAAAGATATTGACTCGTGAACGAGAAGTCTTTCTGGTGGTATTAGTGAGTCGACAATAAAATGGGACTTCGCTGCATCAATGCAAATTCAGTTGCAGAAAGGATTATTGCGGCGAACAATTTTATATTCTGCAAAGCTCCAATCATGCTTTTTTAAACCTTGTCAGGGAAATACATCGACGATATGCGACAAAATAGAGCGTTTCATTTATTCCGACTCCTAAGGGATCTTATAGGCTACACCACCTGAACTAAATGAACAACACATTGAAAGTATTCTGATAATGACAAACTTCAGAGCCCTACTTGGTAACTCAATCTCACAGCTGGGTATCAGGTAAGATGTATTGCAAATAGATAAAATCAACATTTTGCAAAAAAAAAAGATTTCGCAATAAAGGTAAACATTGCGGCAGTGCATTGTAAAAACCTAGGAAAACAAGTGCTAACTTTAATTAGGAAATTGCGCAAAAGACAAAATCGTAAGCACGCCTGTACTTATAACCCAACAGGAAACGCTACAGAAAAGAGCCTCCGATTAGAGATGCTTCCTAGAGACGGTATTAGCGTACTTCGTATTAAGAACATTGTCAAGGAAAATATGTGCATAGCATTTTAAGCTAACTGCATGAAAATAAATAAAACTCATTAAAAAAATATCAAAACAAAGAGCGGAAAGGAAAAATTAATCAGAAAAATTTCCAATTGAAAAATTTGGTTTTAACAATGACCCAAATAACATCACTTGCGAAATTATGCCGACAAATATATTTAAAAACAAGTAAGAAAATTATGTTTGGTTGTGACCGAATCTTTCATACCCATCATCGTGATCGTAGAAAAAAGGAAAAGAGCTTCATTCCGTATGTTGACGTGGTTTATTTTTTCTAATATGGTTGTAGGTTATGAGTAACAAGCAAAAAATACAACGAGCGACGGTATTTCCAGTTTTTTTTTATATATGGATGCGAACTTTGTAGGCGTGTTCTTTGAAAAGTTCGGGTCACTTTCAAATTCTTTTGCAAGTTTGTAGGCGATATCTTCATTTTTGCGAACGGGAGAATGTTTACCACAGATACTACAGAGTTGCGCAAACAGACAGATGGACAAAGGAATAGGCGGATTTGTTTAAGTGCGTTCCAGATTTGAAACTGGCCAAGAATTAAATATACTTTTTTTAAGCTTGCTCTGCTCTTTATGAAGGTATTGAAAAAACAATTAAATTTTAATACACTATAAAATTCGTGATCGATTTTTTCCATTTTTATGCACAAATGCTACAATATTGCCCATAGAATATGTGTTTAAATTTTTGTACATTGTCAGTTTAGGTGGCACTGTGGATGTGTCCTTCAAACGATTTGACCCATTTTCAACACCAACCTGCGTGCAGAAACTTCTAAGGTTTCGACTAGATTTGAAGCCGATAGCTTCATTTTTACGCCCAGGAAAATGTTTACGACAGACATTACACAGACGAACAGATGGACACGCTTAAATCCTTCTAGATTTATTGCTAATTGAGAGTATACATACCCTGTATGTGTTCTCTGGCATGTATCCCTCATCCCTCGGTGTTCTGTATAAAAATTTGCAAACAAATGCTAGAAAGGAGGGTGCACACTTCTAAGACAATAATGCATTGACTCAAAATTAAGTGGTTAAGTTTCACAAAAACAACTTTTCTTGAAGGACGGACAGGAATATTGATGCTGGTTCTTTCAGACAAAATGAACGAGTAAATAGAATCATATAATAACTTTGCCGAAAATGAAATACTTAGAAAAACCTTACGGTTTTCTCATGACGCAGTTTTATTTTTAGCGGGATTGCAAGGAGGCTGACGAGCCGCAACCCGGGCTCCACAATACAAGAAGAAAGAATTCTTTTTGCAAAGTTCCATGGCTTGAAAATGGACGCCAATGATATATTCTAGAGCAGATCTTATGAAGCTTAAGTAGATTCCTTTTCTATTATGATCGTCGAATTCGCTAAATCAACGTTTAACAAAATCGCACCCAAATTTAGTTATAAAAATTGTTCAATAAATTGAACCAAAGTTCACGATTACATTGCTAAGCGTAAAGCAAAGTTTTAGCGACATCATATCTGTGGTACCACTTTGTAGCTCCTTTCGTCGAATGGCTTAAGCGCATGCACACAACGCAGGTTAGCAGTGCTAGGTTTGCATGTTGGTAGCGAATGCAGACAAGCGACAAAAAATTAACTTGCTAAACTTTAACGTTATAAAAAATGCGTCTGTAAATCCTCCTATATATAGCCTGTCCCTATAAACCCTACTTTTATCTGAAACGGGGAAACTGTCTGCATGTCTTAACATTCTGCCCGTCTATCGAACTAAGGACTTTATTGCTTTTTTTAGAGTCACATTTTAAGAGAATCCGAGGCTGTAGAGACACGTGCTACTACTGAGCTAGCTAGTTCGGGACACCTGAGGGATTTTAACTTTTTGTCTCACGGGCATTCCACAAACGATTACAACTAAAAAAAAATATATGTGCTTTACCCTTATAAGAAGAAACGGAACAACGAAGCCTACTTACTGAAAGGGCAGATCGTAAAATCTGGGCCATTCTCCGCCCTCATCTACCTATGGTCTTTTTCAGCCTATGATTTCAATGGAAGACTCCGAAGTTGCGTCCGACGACTTCTAAGCTACCTTCCTCTCAATAAAAGTAAAAAAACTTCATTTTATATATATACATATTTGTTCTTTGTAATTTATGTATATTTAATGTATAGGTTCGGTTCTCGTTAATCTAATAAATTTAGTTAATATATACGTAAAATTCCTTATTTCCATATAAATATTTTTATATTCATTGACATTGTTCTTTTTTATTATTATAAATATTCTACTTGTACAAAGTTATTTCATTTATTGTGTTAAATTATAAAGAACTAATAAAATTTGTTATTAAAAATTTGGAAAATTTATATAAATACCTCCATTATCAAATTAAGACACCACTAAGGAAGCGTTATTTAATATGAATGAATATGAAGGTCTGCTAGACCTCTTAATTTATTGCTAATAAATTTTATCTTAAAGTGGTGGCTAACTTTTAATTTCTCGGCAGTACTACTTTTAATTTAGTTTTTCGATATCTCGCAAGGTGACACATTGGCTGAGTTCGCTGACTTCGTGGCCACGTAAAATTGATATTCAGAAACTAAAACTTCTGAAATTTATAAGTGCAATGTATTCTTTGCTTTACTTGGAATTCGATCACCAAACTTTCACGGCAGTATAAATTGAGAGTATCTCTAGAAGATATTCTTGTGTATAAATATAGTATATTTTTATTTTATTTCGTTCACCTTCCATCAAACAGGGAAAAATTACCATTTTTGTCGGATAACATTACTCATTTTATTTCAGGTAATTATGCAAACCGTTTTGTTACTCTTTGAATTTCTTCTTTTTCTGCTAGCGGCACGGGTAATAGAATTTATGCACCGCGCATAATACGCCATCCTGATTTTTTACAGATCATCATCATTAATATTATATTTTCATTCGTGTTCTGTTTACGTCTGCGATTTTTTGACTGTTCTGACCTTTTCGTCTTTCCAGTTTTTTTGCCAAGCTGGTTATCGCGGATACCGCCTGTGCGTTTATTTTCTTTATATACTAAAAAAAATTAAAAGAAAAAGTAAATATAAATTGAAAACAACTGACAATTGACATTTTCCATTATTTAGTAGTTTGCAATCTTTTTCTAATAAGCGATTTCTTTCTCTTAAATTACTAAATAATAAAGTGACAACAAAACGCTAGTACGGTCCCGGGGCCGCCAGATAAAAACTCAAATAGGTTTCATTCATTGGCGGACGAATCACCGCAAAGAAAAAAATTACAAATTTGAATTTTCCGGTATTACCAATCAGTACCATCATTCCGATTGACAAAAAATATGTGGTTATATCTTCAACGAATGCTAGCATAACGATTTCACAGATCAGGCCTTTCGCTCTAAAAAAACCCCTAAATGACATTACAACATATATACACTCCATCTCGATTTTACGCTATAGTAATTTACTTGCTCTTGATGGTAATCTGCGCGCGACAGAGTTCCTCTTAAAGTCAAAATCACTAGCTAATTTATTTCCAATTTTCCGCTAAACTACACAACAAACTCAGCTCGGTAAAAGGCCTAATTTATGCCCTGTCTTTAAAACATCTACCATCGTAACTGACGTTTATACATTTACTTAATTAAATGACGACGGAGAAGCTCCTCACCTTAGGTAAGATAATTATGACTTTTGACCGTTATCGGTCACCGCAAATTGTTGATGAGGCTTCCTATAAGCATAAAGTGGAACTCTACATTCCAAATCCCATGAGATGCATAACTTGCCAACGTTTGGGTCATACGGTAAAAAGGTGCACCAGTGCTCCATTTTGAGCTAATTGTGGTCTTCCTACATATGCTGATATCTGTAGTTTCTGCATCAATTGCAATGGTCAGCACTCGGCGTTAGACAAACAATGTCCACGTTATATACGAATGCCCGAAATTTTAAAACCCGCGACGCAAGTACCGGGAATTAAACTCAACTGAAATCCAAGGAATCAATGAAAGTAATACCTACGCTGCCGTCGCCTCGCAAATCGAGTCTAATAAGCTTTTAACTCCAAGTTCTGCCAATGACAAACCCATTCTATCATCAGCCAAAAACCATATTGAGAAACCAGATCCATCACCTGCCAAATATAATATTGAAAAAATTAAAACAACAACACATATCCTAAAACCTAAGAGTCACCAGCGCTCAACTACATTCAATAAATTACAAGTTGTAATGAATCCAATCTTTCATCCTTTAATCAACCTTCAATTTTAAATTATTCACGTGTGGCCACTCGTTGCACTTCAAACGCAACCACTTAAGTACCGTAAGAACTAATAAGAATAAGTTATTCAGATAAAAGTCGTACAGCGACATTTTCGACGGAGACGCTAACATGTCAACACTTACCTATCATTACGTTTTCACTTTACTACAATTAAAATTACTAAAATTCAACAATGGAACATTGAGGGACTTATTAATAACTTTGACGGACTCCGCATACTCACAAGTTATTTTAACCCAACCTTTATACCCCTTCAAGAGGTCTATCGTAGAATGTTATTCACCCAAAACATATACTGAATACTTCTCGAATACTGATCAAAATTCATATTCCAATCAGTGAGTTGATTCAGTGGCATCAGTTTAATCTCATACATATAAGCCGTAGCGATACAAATAGTCTTTAACATAAAATTTACAGTGCTTTTATTCTATATTCCGCGTTCACAATCGTTTTCTCAGTGAGCTTCATAATTTATTCTCCGTAATTCCCCCCTTTAATTATATGCGGCGAATTTTGCAGTTGGAACAACATCTGGAGCTCAACAGGGAACAAGAATCGTGGTACTGTTTTAGAAAATGCCTTCATTCAAAGCAATCTCTGCGTTTTAAATGATAAAAGACCAACGTATTTTTCAACTCATCACACTTTTTAGCATATTGATTTAAGATGTCGGTCTACGCAACTTTTTTCTCTGGTTTCCTGGTCTATTTCTGATGATCAACTTAATAGTGATTACTTTCGAATCATAATCAATCTTAACATTTCAAACTCCTCCGTTACTTCGGCAAAACAAGTTAAATTCCTCTGGGATAAGCAGATTTGTTTAATTACTCCAAATATGCAGAGTCATTTTTGAACACAAAGCCATTTAACGGCAACTGCAGCTATGATGCTGCTATTACGTCTAGGACCATTCGCACGGCTGCGATCCAATCCAAAAACTTTTTTAAACGAGCTAGTCTTCCTTGGTGGAACAACACGCTTTTGTTATTGGATTTATTGCACTGCTTTAAAATATGTACTGATCATTATTAAATAAAAAGGCCAATGCTCTATTCGAGATGAAATTACGAAAATCAAAGGCACTCAATTTTGAACTTTTTTCGAAAAGAATTCGCAGAAAGTTCAATGAAAGTTGTATATAACAAAATCAACAGACTCAGTGGAACTTCAAATTTGAATGAAATTTCTGCCATCTGCACTCCCAATGGAACTTTAACTGACGCAGACGGGATTACTAATTACTTTAAATAAGTTCGGTGGGAAGACTCCAAGATAGCAACTTTTCGAGTGATCTTATCGAAAATAAAAGGACTCCAATTTCTCTTTCAAATGCTATTGACAGATGTGCTATGTTCCTGGAAAATTGTATATATACTTAGAACTTAAAAGTTGTTTTCTGAATTGCATCTCATACCAAATGATCAGTGCTCTGTCGAACTCAAGTAGAAAGTAATTACTTGGCCTATATAATAAGATGGTTTTCACTGGCCACCTTCCTTACATGTGGAAACTGGCGGCAGTTGTTCCAGTTCCAAAATCTAAAAATGTCTCCATCGCATCAGATTATCGCCCAATCTCTCTTTTATGTTGCCTCTCAAAAACATTTTAAAAGATTATGGCATCTGGACTATTTTGGTTTCTTGAGTCCAAGAACCTGACTACAAAACCAATTGGTTTCAAGCTGGGTAGAGGTTGCATCAACGCTCTTTTACATACTGATTATTTTACAACCAAAGCAATTTCTGAATGAAATTAGATAACAATTCTCTCAGTTGATTTCACAAAAGCATTTGACAGAGTTGGTCTTTATGTTACACTATGGAACCATGGTATGTTGAACCCAAATTCTTCAACTATATGAAATCATTCATCGCTCATCATCGGCGATTTAAAATTAGAGATAATCATCTCTCTGATTCTTTTCTACTAATGAACGGCATTTCACAAGATCTTCTCTTTCTGGCACTTTTGTTCAAATTGCTTTCAATGAAATTAGTGAAATTCTTTGCCGTATACCGGGAAATGAACATTGTCTCCGCGGGGACGACATATACATTTTATTAAAGAGAATGATAGTACGAAAGCAACCAATATTCTCGAATCTATTGTACGAGAGATTACCACATGAGCAAATACGTCAGGCGATAAAATTTCAATACAAGAATTAAAAAAATTGCGCATTTGTCGAAAGCAGATATGTGTGATGCAGGAATTCGATTGATGCATATAAATGACTTACCAGTACTAAACGTGCTGACGCTCCATATTCTTGGGCATACGTTTTTCAACAAATATCGTTAGAAAACCCACTGTCTTCGGTTAAAAAAATCAATTTTAATAAAGGTGAATTTCATACAAAACGTTGCTTGGAAAACCCATGCGCACATTAACACTATTACTTATCTTACCAAAATGCTTGTTTTAAGCAAGATTAACTTTGCTTTCATAATTTATGGCAATAGCTGCAAATAAAATGTCAACATCCTTAAATCAGTCTATTACCAAGCTTTCGCTATTATGCTTTTCGGACGACACCCATTAACAACATCATAAGTGAAACTGGTCTTCTAGCTTTAGAAAATAGACTTTTTGAATTAACAGCTAAAAACGTGCCCAAGCTTCTTAATTCAAGCAAATCTAATCTCGGTGTAGATGTGAAAAGGATTATTGTTGCCAAGAAAATTCGAAAGCCACCATCCGCAATTGACTATTATTTGTATTTTGCGAAGCAATTGAACCTTCCTAAATCTCCATGGGTTTTCAAAGACTAACCTTTCGACATTTCTCTGTCTATGTACGAGAAAGAAGACACTTCAAATTACGTTTTCAGGAATTTAATTGCTGAAAAAACCCAAATACTGGAGAGTAACTGATGGAATCTTTTATATACAGATGGCTCTAAATCCTTCGGTCTGCCACTTGCTTGTGCCGTGGTAGATGCTTCAGGACAGGTTCTTCTTTATCACATGTTTTACTTTCCCAACCGAAACCGGAACTTTCCTTTACGCTACGAACTTTCCTTATAAAGCTAACCTAAAAGCTGCCATTGTTAGTGATACTTTGTCTATATTAAAAACTATGAGAAATCCTTCGATCTCAAAATGGAGCGCCGTTATCAAATTAAGGAATATCATTACAACGTCCGCCGATAAAATTATAATGCTTTAGGTACCAAATCATATCAGTTTATTAAAAAATGAGCAAGCTGATCCAACGGCGAGGTAAGCTACATCTGCACGTCTAATTATGGATTCTGTTATGGAAATGTTGGACTTTCATTGGAAGAAATGTTCAAGAGAAAATTATGGTAGAAAATGTACAATACTATCATCAGCGATGCTCTTCTATCAGTCTTTAATTAATTCCACCTCTATATCCAACAAGTATTAGGAAAATCAAGATCAACATATTTTCGGGAACTCGCCTTGGCCATACAACGGCAACTGACCAATGGATCTTAAAAAAGTCTTCTTCCCCAATTTACAATTGTGGACAAATTCTCATTATAAAGCACCTTTTTTGTGATTGTCTTAAATTTTCCATTGCTAAAAGTATTGCATTTGGAGCAACTAATCCTATGTACATCCAAAAATCAGTAACAGAACGCAATATCAATACAATAAATTACTTAATTGAAACTGTTAGGCTTAATATCTAATGTTCTTTTCTAAATAAGAGTCGATAAGGTTACTAGTGCTCAATGTCTTTTTCTTTTTAGTTTAAGAATTTATTTCATTGGTGTAAAATTATAATAATAATAATAGCATATTTTATTAAAACTACAATATTTGTTATCAATTTGTTCTCTGTGTAATTTTCGACAAAGTTTCCATTACCGATTTTGGAAGCTGGAAGGAGAAATCCAATCTTCCCGAAAATAGGAAGTCTACAGGTTTCGAGGAAAAGGTCGAAGCTATACGTTCTAACGCAGTAAAATTTCAAGAGAAAGAGCCATCTGGACCTGCTAGACAAATAAACTCAACGAATTTAGAAATTATGATATCCCATGATTAAAAAAATTTTTCTTACAGATTGATTATAGACAATGTGTTAAAATAGAGTGAAAGTTTAGTTAGAAGAATTTAACAAAAACCTTTGAAAGTTAACAATTATTCAATGTTTCGTAGCAAGCAAGGAAGAATGAGGTGGCCTTTCTTTCAAAGTTGATAATTTCGTAAAATCGTGATGGAATTACTTAAGAAAGCAGATTTCATCAAAAAAAAAGTTTTCGGAGCTGAATTGAGAGAATTACTTCTGAGAATAAAGGCCATAACATAATCTCAAACAGAACTACTGTTTTTGAATTTTCTGAACAACTTGTTTTTCGTTTTTTTCTTATGAATTTCAAGCCTGCATTGACCAGTTGACTGATGCTGGGAGCAACGTAAGACTATTGTATTCGGGGTGAGGAAATACCAAATATGGGCATATCTAAAAGAGAACGCTGCAATATATATGTTCATAAGGGAAGCACCCAAAGATTAATGTAAGACTTGTAAATGAAGTAATATCAATTTTATTATGATCTTCAATCAATCAATCATCTTAATCTTAGGTGATTATGATTAGGTTAGATAAGTTAGAAAAAGTGAAAATATCAGAGTTTATGTATACATAAAAAGAAGAGCAATGATCTTCAATTAAGAGAAAGGGAAAACAGGACTAATTGAAAAATCCTTTAGGAAAGAAATGAAAAGTCCTCTAAAGAATTTAAATCCAACATCGTATCATGGATGTTTAGGATGTCATTATATTGGGGAAAGCGTATATCAAAGATAAAGACTATATTGAGAAGGTTGTTAGATCTACCTGCAGATGTGGTAGCAATCAGAAGAATTGCATCTTTATTAGAACTTTGACTCACGAATAAGAAGTATATTTTTTATAGACGCTAGCAATGGAATTCGGAATAGATTATGTTGTGATTATTATTATTATTTTAATTAATTTAACTAGGGAAATAAATTGTAAAACTAAACTCTTAAAGCGTTAGCATCTCAGGTTATGGGCCTAACTAAAAACTCTACTGCATTTGAGATTTGAACCCAAGACCATTCAGTTGTTAGGCGAGACCCTTTGCCTACATCGTCACTCAAGCGGATGCAAAAAGTTTACAAACGTGTGATTATTTTTATTAAGTTGTTATAACTTTTCCACACAGCATTAAATATCAAATTATCTTAGCTAACTTACTTAGTGTCGAGGGGCCAAGACAGTCATTGCAATACCTTGTGATCACACGCTATCGCTATCTATGAAATTAAAGTGCTTTTGTCACAGGAGTTAATAAAAATAAAATTGATTCATTTCAGATTCGTTCTGCTGTTATACCATTTTATGCTCCCAAAATGCACCAAATTTTTTTTTACAAAATTTACCTACGTTAGCAAAAAATATTGTTTTATTTGCAAATGTACTATTTTGGATAAATGGCATAACAAAAAGTATGCTTTGTTTCTTTTTGCTTAACGTTAGTATAACTTCACTCCTATAGGCGGCTATCGATTTGTAGGGTTCGTTGCAAACGAATGCACTGTGGATCGATTGCTTCAACGTGTTTATTACTACTTTTGTTTACAATGATACATAAATACACTTGAATTTTTTTTGTGTTATAGTACTCTATGATCGACAACCATGGAAATACTTCAAGAAACTTGAAAACTGAAAAGTTATAAGAGGATCACTACCTGTTATCCGGTGTCATTTCTGAACACTGGCAATCAAATAAAAAGAATATCTTAGCTATTATAACGAATTGAATAGTTTCCAGCAAACTTCAAACAGGAAAAACAGAAAATAATTATGCAAAGTGTATTATTTTGTTTTGATAACTTGCTTGCGACGAAATATTTTTAATTATGTTAGCCTTGAATCAGCTTTTATTATTTTCTGAAGTTGTAATTCACTTTTCCATTGTTCAGTTTTTAAACTTCGCTATAATAAAAGGTTAAGTTTATTACAGAATATGAGCTTAGACACGAAACAATTTTTTTGATACCTATTTGTTCATATTCTAATTTTGTATGTGGTGCATATGTGTGTCGCAAAAGATAAGAAACTTCTTGAAATACGCCGAAGGCAAAAGAAGCTGAT